TTCTGTGTATTACGAAGTTGTATCGAGGAAGAATAAACTAGTTTAAATTAAGAAAGGACTTGTATCACTGAAGTTCCTCGGAAAGAATTTATACCGGAAATTAACAAAAGAGCAGATACGTAACAATAGTAACATATGCAGCCAAACAATAAGTTCGAATTATGATTGGTGGAAAGACGGAAATGATGAGAGATACAAATAAGCTCAGACTGAATTACTTGTAGCATAAAAACAGGATTTAAATAACGACAATAACGAGTGATTAAACATTATATGAGTAAAAAAAGAAGAATCTTACAGTGAATGACGTCTTGGTTACGTATTTGTGAGTTGTATCCATGCATCAGTGGTTTGGACTCTTCCCATCCTTCCCTCTTCTGAGATTTACCAGATGCAAGCTTGGTGTCGGATGCTTGCATCATCTCAGGCGTTTGACGTTTCTTATTCTGTTTCTGTGCCAGTAGGTGTCTCTGTGGACATAATTGTTATATATTCAGAGTGCACACACACACACACACATACTCGTAGATGTTTACGCACCGTTTATGTAAGGTGGTGGTTAAAAAATCACCCTCCACGAACTTGATTAATTTCGGAAACAAATATATTTATTCAAGTGTAGCTTCATTAGTTACAACTAATTTTATTTGTGGTAAAACTTCATATTTTAACATTCTTCTGTTCCTTAAAATTCTACTATTATTACTGAGACATTTTCTTTTTTTTTAGATACGTTGCTTAAAAAGATATTAAACATAATTAAAACAAAACCTTTTGTACATAAGTAGGACTGACTGGTGTGCAGATAGTAAACGTAGTTGATAAAAACAAAACGTCTCTTTTTATAAACATTCGAGTCGAAAGAATAGAATTACATTTTTGCTATTAAAAATAATGATCATAAATAAATAATATTTTTGACAAGTTTCTTAAAGTAGCATCAAAGGTAAAGCAAATCCTTATTTATTTTGCCTGTAAGATCAATTCAATAGCTATGTTACAATAATTTCGCCTGTTTCAACCACTCGCGCCACAGTGTAGTAGTGTGTTGTCTGTCAGTCAGTCAGTATATACTAAAATCAAGTCAGAGAAGGGACGATTAACGTTGCAATTTGTACTGTAGGGACGTCAGTAAAACGAGCACATGCCATGAATCACGAAAATAATTATGCATTTTGTAAGCTACAACACAGCATGACATATGAACTTCAAAAGCAAGAAATAAAAATATTTGTTGCACTTAATTTTGGTTTTATTTACTCCTCAAACATAACACTTTCAAGGACCCTGCAGAAGTACATCTAATATATTACATATATGGGAGCTAGGCTTTACATTTACTGGAAATCAATATTAAGAATATCACGACTAACACTTTTTTTGCCATTTTGTGTTTAGGTTAATTAATGAAGTCGCTAAAAAAGATGTTTTTACTACTGCTAGTAAATCAACTTATGTAATTTGTTTAACCAACAGTTACCGATAGCATTGGTGTATTGTTCCTGGCACTCTGTTGCCATTATGCAAGTGATGCCATTGCGTTGTTTTCGCATGTTGCAGAGAATAAGCTTCCCGAAACCGAAATAAATAGACAAGTTTGGGAAGTTCTCTGGTTGTGTCCAGATTCTAATTTTACCAGGTTTATAAAGCACTCTAACGTTTTCACAATCATAGGATTCCAATATTCTTACAAGTGATTGTTATCAGCAGACAATAAAAGAAGTTTGAGGGCATATAGCACTTAAATTTTGGTTCGATCCCTGCGGTGGAAATCAATTCAGACAGCCCATTTGTGACGCAAAAAACAAACATCATATATCACGAGTAGGTGTGCTAAAGCGCTCATATAGCAAGCATCTGTTTGTTAAAGCCATGACAAGTTTAACAGATAGTGCTATTTCATATTTTTTTCTTTAAAAAGTTTTGCTTGTTTCAGAAAATTGAGACTTCGTTTTCTCTTTTTGCTAGTTTACTAGCTTTCCTCAACTAAAATGTGCACACTTCTAACTCTTGTCGTTGAAAGTTAATACTTAAAACAAATTTAGAAATCACATGCTGTTGTTTTTGTTGAAATTTCGGCCAGAGAATATTCTTTGTATCGTTTTAATTTGGGAATAATATATTTTGGGCCCAACAATGTCTGATAATGATGCGCTAGTTGTTTTTATAATAGGTTCTATCTAAATAAAATCGATTTCCTGTTGTAAGTTGGGTTTTAAAATACTTGATAATGATGCGCTAGACGTTTTTTATAATAGGTTCTATCTAAATAAAATCGATTTCCTGTTGTAAGTTGGGTTTTAAAATACTTGATAATGATGCGCTAGACGTTTTTTATAATAGGTTCTATCTAAATAAAATCGATTTCCTGTTGTAAGTTGGGTTT